AAGAACTGAATAGACATTTTTCCAAAGAAGGCATACACATGGCTAATGGACACATGAAAAGATGCTCATCATTGCAAATTATTAGAGAAATGCAAATCAAAACCACTATGAGGTATCACCTCACACCTGTCAGAATGGCTATCATCAAAACATCGACAAATAATAAATGCTAAAGAATATGCAGGAAAGAGAGACAACTTGTACAGCATTGATGGGAATATAAATTGGGGCAGCCACTATGGAGAACAGTATGGAGGTTCCTTAAAAAACAAAAAGTAGACCTGCCATATGATCTAGCAATTCCACTCCTGGATAGATATAGATATAGATATATCTATATATATATATAAAGGAAGGAAGGAAGGAAGGAAGGGGAAAGAAAGAAGGGAGGGAGGGAGGGAGGGAAGGAAGAAGGAAGGAAGGAAGGAGGAAAAAGAAAGAAAGAAAACTCTTATTTGAAAAGATACATGTATCCCAATGTTCACAGCAGCAATCTACAACAGCCAAGACATGGAAGCAACCCAAGTGCCCATTAACAGACAACTGGATTATCACATTTGACTTTACTATTGGATTACTACTATTGGATTACTTATTTTATTCTATTCTATTGATTATTATTTTGTGGTTGGCTTTATTCCTTTGATAACTATGTAAGTTTAAAAAGCTAAAACTCTAAACTGTTCTTAGAAACAATGAACAGTACACATATGTAAATTAAAAATATGTACAGTATATTGTATATATGTATTTACATGCAATATATTGTATATGTGCAGTCAAATTGTATCAATTTTACTTAATAAAACTGAAAAAATAAAAACAGACAATTGGCTTAAGAAAATGTGAGATATATATACATAGTGGTATAGTATAATGGTGTGTATATATAATAGAATATTACTCAGCCATAAAAAGAAGGAAATATTGCCATTTGCAGCAACATGGATGGACCTAGAGAATATTATGTTTAGTGAAATGTCAGAGAAAGACAGATACCATATAATCTCACTTAAATGTGGAATCCAAAAAATAATACAAATGAATCTATATACAAAACAAAAACAGACTCATAGACATAAAAAACAAACTTTTGGCTACCAAAGTGGGGCAGGGAGGACAAATTAGGAGCATTGGATCAACAGATACAAACTACTATACATAAAATATATAATCAACAAGAATTTACTGTACAGCACAGAGAATTATACACAATAACTTATAATAACCTATAATGGAATATAATCTGCAAGAAAAAAAGAAAAACAAATCACTATGCTGTATACCTGGGACCAACACAATATTTTAAATCAACTATACCACAATTTAAAAAAATAACGATGGCCACGTAGAATAAGCAATGGCCCCAAGTGTGACGCAAACCCAAGGTTGGGCCCAGAGATAGAGGCAATTTCAATTCCTACTCTCTTCTGTATTTCCCCATATTTTCTCTCCTAACTCTAGAGAAAGTATTTGTGTGTGAGTAAAGGTAAGGGCATTTATAGAAGCCATAGGATCTGCTTTAGTTTATAACTAAAAGAAAATCCTGTCTATTTTGGTATAATAAATTCTCATTAGCAGATAGTTTGTGATATACTTCACAGGATACATCCAAGTGTGGTGACACCAGGGTTCAGAATTCTTTCCCAGTCATACTGCCAGGTGAATGGCTGAGTCATTAGTGGCTTCAGGATGTGTTCAACTTGCCTTAGGCAGAAGGCCTTCATTAAGAATGCACGGAGGTCAATGGGGGCCAGCACCCTGTTAGGAACATGTTTCTCTCTTGAGGCCTGAGTGCTGGCTCTTCTCTCCCCTCTTCATAGAAGGTCTAGTCTTGGTTTGAAGCTATGTTTTTTTCTAAGTGATCTACCAAATTTACAATTTTTTGCTACACTTTTGCATGCACCAATGTACAAAGAGTAAACACTTAAATACTTGATAGTTTTCTCTACCCTGGTTCACAGTATTTATATACTTTATCCTGAGCAATAATATCCATGACTCAAGGTTTGATGTGCCTGCTATATACTTCCTACTCCATACCGAAATGTATTCTTACTAAAATCTAAAATGTCAATTGGTGTACCTCTCTAAAACATCTCATCCATCATACCCCAGAAATGAGAGACCCATTCTTAGAAAACAGTTTTAGTGCAAAATAGGATCTATTCCAATTGAGAAAACAACATTATGAAAAATTATGATTTTTTAAAAATGCAGGTGTAATCTTTTTTTTTTAACTAATGGAAAAACAACATGTAAAGTGCTAATCTGACTCAGTTTGACCCAAGAGATTAAGAAAAAACAGCATTTGTCAGATACTTTGCTGAAACAATGTCAGGAACATTTTGTCTGAAAAAATGGACTTCAAGTATTCTTGAAATGTATTCACAGTAACTAGACAATCATCAACTTGTGACAACTTTCTTATGAACTTACTGTAAGAGAAACCCATCATTTCTTATAATCTATTAACACTATAATTAGGGAATATTTTCAAATAAGTCCTTTGGGGAGCTCCTCCCTCTCAAGAAGCAGGATCCTCTCTTAGGTACTCAAGCCCATCAAACCCACATGTAGAGACGAAGCACACAGTAACAGTATCATAGGTCAAGCATCATGCTTGCTTTTATGAAGAGACCTTCATGGAAGATGAGGTCTTTGGTCCCTCAAGCAGCCCTTTAGTCTAGCTGATGAGACTAAGGCTAATATACGTCAGGCAAGAGAGACAGAAATAGAAGATGGTCTGTAACCATGGCTAAACCCATCTCCTCACGGGACAATGCAGAGACAGGACACTTGCTGGGACTGCTAGCCCTAGTGTTTGTTAAAATACATCATTGCCTTGATAAAAGTAAGAGATTTAGCTTTCACAACATATAAACTCCCAGAAAAACCAAATGTATTCCCTTAGGGTAAAACAAAGCATGGAGAATTTCAACTCCAAAAGCAGAATTTTTCCAAGTCAGAGGTAACTGGGGGAACAGAATTGGAAGCCAGTGCATAGCCCTAGGAGAGAGCTTGCCACTACACATGGCAGCTACACATTTTTCCTTTTCTTCATATTACTGCTACATCTGCGCTCACACTTACTTCCTTGGGCCTGGGGATCTGTTTCTCATTTGAGTCCCCTACTTTATCTTCCTTTTTGGTATCGTTTCTCAATTATTAAATTTTATGCCTATTATTATTAATAATAAAAGACTCCAGATTCAAATAACATTTTTTTCCCTGGGGTTTGGAAGTCAAGCCAACTAAGACTAGAGTGGGATCAGTGGCTCCCATGGGTATTAACGAGGGAATCATGAGAGGGTGCTGTCACCTGGGAACCCAGTTCATGTTATGGAGACCCTGATACTGCCATTTTCCAAAGACTTTTTTTTTCCAATGGGCCTTTGTCCTTCAACCTCTGTTTTTGATGAATCTGCTTAATACAGAATATTTAATCTCAAAGCCAGATATACTGCCCTGTTCACAGGATGCCAAACATCTGGGTGAGAGAAAATATCAGCCCTAAATGGCCATTTCCAAATACTCAGGTGTTTAGATATGTAGGGACAAATCATCTGGGGCTGTGGGACAGTGTTTATCCAAATGACTTGACAGTCTTCACTGTTGCATTTGAATGGCCCTCAGACAATGTGGATTCCTATTATTTGTCTATAATTTATCATTATTTTATCATTACTACACTGGAAAATGGTAGGTTAGTCTTCAAATTTATGTTAACATTCTACCATAATCCAAATTTTAAAAAGCTTTTCTCCAACAGGTTACCTAATTAGCCTTTTCCCCACTGAGGGCTAGAGCTACTCTAACATCATTCATACATAAACAGTCCCTCATCCTGGGAGGACAGCCAGTGAGCAAGCTCCACTGCCCAAGCATATACACAGGGGACACTACATTCATGCTTTCCATTCCACTACCCTTGGCAGAGAGCTTAACATTGACCTGAGACACACAAACACACCCTCTCTCTCCATTAAAAACAGATGTACCTTGACCACGTCAACTTCCAAATCAAAGTGCAGAATCCCTCAATAAGCTTATGTGGGTAACATAGTTCAGGGGGGAAAGCTGTATTTATGAAGACTTCGGACTGAATTGAGAATAGGCTTCTGGACTCAAGCCAACAAGGAAGACAAAGGAAATAGGGGAAACCGTCCCATTTATTATCACTACCTTGTAGAAAATACCCAGCACTCTTTGCATCAAGATATAAGACCCCGTTTGATGAGTGATCTTGTTTTGATGAGTGGTCTTGTTTCCCTGTCATGATGTTTGCAAGGAGAGGGTCCGCCATTACCGATCGCGAGCCCAGCAATTGTCT